GTACAATCTATGTCAGGAGTACATCTAAGATTGTGGCTCTTACCGTGAGCACAAGCAACTAATTAATCATTAAGCAGTAATTACTTTTCTTTTTCCTAGCATAATACCAGTTACTATAATTATTGTTACAGCTGCATCTATAAAAGATAACAAAGACTGAAACCCTGGGGCTGGGTCCACACCTGGGCTGGGGATAATCGCATTTAACTGTAGCTGTTCAAAAGGTCTTCTGGGCTACTCCCCCAGGCTCTCCCTCTCATCAGTCTAGGCAGAAATAACTCTATCCAAAGAGGCCTTCAACCCCTTTAAATAAGGATCCTGTTCTAGAGAAAATTGTGTTTATACATTGCCCCTAGGAGGGTGCCCTACTTTTGACAAAGTGTGACATGCTTCATCTTCATTTCTTCCTATGGCTTCATAGTTCTTCGCAAACAGCATTGATTTCACTTTTCAACACTTTCTACTCCGAACTGTGTTTGCCCAGGGTTTATCACATATTATAGCATTTATCTTTTAAAATATATATTTCTCCCTTTTATAAATAGTTCCCATTTGCAGGGTCCAAAGTGTTGAAGTAGCATTTACCTAAGTGTTCATAAAAGCATAATCATGCTGATTGCCTGCTTTGGAGTATGACACAAGCATGCCCAGAAAAAAAACATATGGTGACTTTTGTTCTTTGTGAAACGCTGTGGAAATCTGCTTATGCTTGTTTTAGCAAGGTGCATCTCTTTGATATCTTCTGCTCAAGGCTGTGCGTAAGTCCTACAGCCTCTCACTGCCCTGTGCAGATTTACAATGAGATGTTTGAGCAGCAGCACTCAGCTGGTTTGCCACCAATATCTATTTGTAGCCCTGTTGTATGCAGTTTCTTCAGGGGTTGCCTAAGCAGGACCAATTCCAATACACTAACCTGATCTGTAGCCTTCCCTGCCACCCAAAACATCCCCTCGGACAGGCTAGTAAGTCCCCTCCCACAAGGTTTGGAGGGGATTTTAGATCAATGTGGAGACAGATTTGTTGCAATCACATCTTTGAGAAGTAAATGGCTCCCAGACTGCTGTGTACAGGCAGTTGTACACCCAGTGTTGTTGTATGCCCAGTCATGGCCAGTGAAACTAGTAATGGGCAGCTGAATGAGAAAGAATTTTTCCTGTTCCTGTCCAAAATCTTGGCAGTCAATCTCTGAAGAGTTGTATGCCTCTTTCTTTCCACCAAGGTAAGACTAGATAACCCAGATAACCCAATATACATTTTTTAAAAAGCCTTTTAAAGCCTTTTCATTTTTCTTATTGATTTTTTTTGTATTTAAGCTTTTTAAATGAAAAGTAATTGAACCAAAACCCAAACTTTTTAGAAAAAGTGTTAACAATTGTCTCTTAAGATAAATTTGATTTTTTCTTAGAACATTTCAAAACCAGGCAATCCATTGAAAATGACCCCTTCCCACCAAAAAAAAAAAAAAAAAAAAAAGAATTTAATACATCAATATTTTATAGTGGAAAAAAGTTTCTCTGGAAAGTTCCCAACTAACTCCATTATTTTTTAATTGTCTAGCTCATGTCTTCTCAGCATGATGTGAACGCCACTAAACAGAAGACAATCTCCCTCCCTTATATAAAATTTCAGGGTTTTTTTCCATATGTGTAATGGAAAATACACCAATTGAAATAATTGAAAACTTTTGCTTTCTTTACTTTTCATTTTAGGAACACATCATAGCAAAATCTGTCACATTTATATTTTCTGTATAACACCCACTTTTTAAAAAACTAAGCCTGCATACACTTAATTCTGCTCTCACCCTTGTATGTTGAATACTGGTAGGAAGATTGAAGCCCAACCCTCCTGTTGTAACACATGCATTCATTGACAGTAGCTTAGCCCTTGTTACCCAAAATTACAGCCTGGGCAGATGACCCAGGAGTATCTAAATTTGTGCCAAAGAATGTGACTTTTACAAAGGGAAGTTCTTGCTCCTTTGGGCTACAGACATTTCTTAGTCTTCCCATCTGTAAGAGGAGATGAGCTTTATCTTCTGTGCTGGAGGGGTTTAACTGCTTTGACTTTGCCCCCTATTATTTTTTAGGCTGGAGTTTTAGCAGGAAGAATTGTATGATGCCACATATCTGTTGTGCCCGTACTCCCAGAAAATGATTTGGTGCAGCTGCCACCAGTAATGCTTCCATTCAGGAATATTTCTGCAGTTCCATATGGATCCAATCACCCCTGCTCAGCCCTGCTCCTGAGCATTTTTCATCTGCAGGCAAAATCATAGAAGTGATTATGGTGGGTGTCAAGGAAAGCCTTTGGTCTCTAAACTTAAATGAATTAACTCAAGAGCTTCTTGAGGCATTCCTCCTTGCCTCCTCCCTCCTACATTGCTTCACATTTTTAAGCCAAAGGCATTGCTTTCCTAGTGATTTATTCAGCACCTTTAGCAAGCTGCTAATGAGAGAGTGAAACCTGGAGAGCTAGCTCAGGCACTTCAGAGACAGGAGAGGAAGAAAAAGGAACAGGGGGAGGGAAGAAGGAGCAAGGGAGGGAAGGAGAGAGAGGGGGAAAGATGGAGAAATGACTGAGGGCAGAGGAAAGGGGTATTTTTGTCTTTCCATTTCTTTGATATCATTCTTGCTGCTTTTATTATTCTCCCTGGTTCTGCGTGTTGGTATAAATGAAGTTCGCAATCTCCATCGAGAAGGCGGCAGCAGAGTGAATTTTCTGGTGCTGCCAAGTAGGTTCCCATGTCTAGACGGTGCATACAATGGTTGGCAAAAGGCCAGAAACAGAGTTAATGGATTTACAAAATAGAAGCATTTCTCTGTATTGATTTTCTCAGGGTGTTTCCAGAACTCAGAAGTAGGTGGTTAAACTTTACAATTTTTTCTGCTAATAAAAGCCCTCAGAGGGGAGCACTTAATAAAGACACTTCTGATCTGGGAGACAGATGTCTAAAGATGTCTCTCCAGAGGGGAGAGGATGAATAGTATTAGATATTACATTAATTGTAAATATTACTGGCTCTACGTGGAGGTTGAGGTGACATTTTTAATTGTGTTTGAGTGTGATTCTAGTCTTTTAAAGAAAAGCGTAACTTTATTCATAGCCTAGTGGTGGAATTTTAAGCCCAACTGAATGGTTTAGGCAGGGAGATCAGTGTTTGCAATCAACTCTGGCAACAAAGTTTTGAAGGTGTGTGTGATAAGTGCAACATGCCTGAACTCCTCTGTTTAGACAAAATAGGTTTAGCTTCAGTGCTCTGAATTTACAGATACGCCTAGCTACAGGCTTTCTGTAATGTCAAGTGAACTTAAATACACATATAAAAAAAAAAGCGCGCTTGCTGGAAAAAGGATTTTTTTGGACTCTGCTTTCCAAAACATATAGAGCTGAAGATTACATCTTGGCCTGCTATGCTGTGTTTCAAGTGGGATTGGCAACTCCCCCCATTTTGAAGTTAACTGTCGTATTGCAGAAACCTCTTCCATCTGTTAAAACTCTCCCTGTTGGCATCTTGTGGCCCCCCTGAAGCCATATGTTGGCAATTATAGGGTGGTATAGTGTGTGCGTGATAGAATTATTCAGACTGTGGTGGTACACTGACAATTTGAGTTATGCATATAGGCTGTGATGTGATGGTTAGCACAGAGGGGTCTGAAACTGGTAATGTGTTCTTTGAAGAGAAGAGATGAATCAGAAATAAGTAGATTTAGACTGTGCCTTGGAAAAAACAGAGTTCAGGTACCTATTTGTGTCTCTGTTGGAATCTTCCCAAGTGTCTTTGGACCATCAGGATCTACCTATAAAAGAGATGTAATAGCATTTTGCCACCTTACAGCTTCTCAGTAGAGTATATGCAAGGGATTTAAATACAGGGCAAGCAAAGAAATATATTCAAATACATAAATTTATCTGATTGAGAAAAAGGCAGATGAAAAAGTGACTTTTCTGGCTTTTATTGTGGAAAGCTTGTGGACAGCAAGGTGGTGAAAGGGCTGAAGGTAAGCTTGGACTGAAGAAACAACAGAACAAATGGCAGTGGTGTGAAGTGTAAAGTCCTGAAAAGGTGGAAACAGTGAAAATCCTCAAATATTAACAAAGGAAAAATCTAGAAAGAAGAGCAATGCAGGGCACCTTATTAAAATTACTTTTTTCTATTCTGAGAGGCTGGGCTGAATTATCCTAACCCTGACAGAGCTGATACACCCACTGTGCCCAAGAGACCCATGCTTCAATCACTTGTTGAGGTGCTAGACTGACTGTGCACCAAAAGCCAGATTTACCTGGGCAAGGATGGTCCACAGTCACTGTCACTGTCGTCCTCTGTTGCATCTGAGCCCTGTCTGCTCCTGAAATGGTGGTGGGACAGTATCTTGAGACCCTGAGGAGCTGAAGATATGCAACCTACATTCTTTATTCCTCCTCCCACATGCTTTCCAGGCATGCTGTGCAGCTAGATTTGCATTCATAAGGCAAAGGGAGCTCAAAAAATGTTTGGTTGTTAGTGGTACCACCTCCCCCCTTAATAATGACTAAAAATTTACTTTCCTTTTATATAACAGGATGCCTACAAAAGAGTCTTACCTATTCCCTTTTAACATTTGGATGACAGAAATATATGGAGGAATATCATATTGGAGGCCCTTGTCAGACTGCTGAAGGGACCTTGCAGTTAAAGGTGAAATCTTCTGACCCAGGGGAGGTCAACTGAGGGAGGAACAGAGACGGGGATAAGACAGGAATGAGTGAAGTGGTACTCCAAACCTCTCTTGAACTTCACACTTGCCATGAAGGTTGGACCAGATGATCCTTGAGGTCCCTTCCAACCTGGTATTCTATGATTCTGTGAAGGCTGGGGAAAAGAAAGTTAGAATTTTTCTCTTAATTACTACTCTCACAGCCCCATGGCTACTGTAAGGAAACTATTTTTCTCCACTCATTATCCCAGTTTCACATATCACAGGGTAGTTTACTTGGTAAAAAGAAAAAATAAACAAAGATACCACATACAAAAACATTTTTATTATTGTCATATTTCGCTGTTTAATGCAATACTTTTAACTAGGAATACAACTCAGCAGAAGTACATACACATATATTGCATGTAATTTTAGTTGAGTCTTCAAGGTATTTCAGACCCTTATCATCTCAGTCCTTCATGAGTTATTTTGGTGAAGCACCTTCTTCCTTCATCCTGCATAACATATTTGAATGTTGCTGAATAACACAGACATTTTTCTTCCAAACGGAGCACACATTACATCCAAATTCCCAGTTAACGTGACCTTGTCAAACTTTGCTTTCACTGTATGACTGTTGTGTATAATATGTATATGTCTATACAGCATATATAAATATATCTCTATAATGTATATATAATCAAGTGGGTCAGCTTTACATAGCTAACCATAAATTTGTGCTTATCTTATTTATATGAGATCAAATGTACAGCATCAAGAATTTGACCAGTCCTGACTTGTAAGATCCTCAGTTCCCAGTCTTACCATATGATTTTGGATATCATTCCCTTCTTCCTTGCAGTAGTACTTTTTTCGAAGAAAAGAATGCAGTTGTTTTTTTATACAAATGAATAACAGGTTTTCCATACCCTTAAAGTAAAAAATGTCTCAAGAAGAGATGAGGTTCTTCCTCGTACATAGAGCTTGAAGAGTAATTGGACATTCATTGTAGTTATATTTACATTATAACCTTATCTGGATATTATTACACGTAATGTATTACTTTTTTACACAGTCAAGATATGGTGTTGGTCATGTTAAAACACACTATCTAAAGGTATTTACAAACTGCTAGTCTCTAACTTACCAACCACCTTTGCAAAGTGGCATCAGAATTAAAGGATAAGATATAAGAAGGTCTGTTTATTGGCAACCATGGCACTCTCACCAATGTTATTTTTATTACTATCATTACTACCATAATGTGCTTCAGAGAAGGACTGTCTTTGGGGTAGAGGTGTAGAGACAGAGCCTCCGGTGGGGGCTGAAACCCTCCCCCTTCTCCCCACAGCTTACATGAGCTGGGGGGAGCAGAAAGCAATCCAACCGTGACCTGTCTGTCCCTTTGCAAGTTAGGGCACACCAAGCTTGTGCCCCTGTGCTTTCTTCAGTGCTGTCTGTTGACACAGTCTAAACGTTAAACACCCAGCGAAGTCCTTCCTTTCAAAGGCCACTCTAACATGGCTGTGATCATAGTGCCTCACGTACTACCCACAGCAGATTCTCCCAGAGAGTCAGAGCACTCTGAGACAAACAGTTTCTGTGTGCTTCTTGGCAAGAGAGGTCAAAAAAAAAAAAAAAAAAAAAAAGAAATTCGCTATAAAAAGACAAAAAAGAGTAGCTACCCAATGGCACTTTTCAGGTTATGGGGAGCTTTGGAAGGCAAAAGACACCAGGATTTGTTTCCCTTTATTTGGTTAATACCAGAATGAAACGTGTATGACAAATCTACCCAGCATCCTGAAATATGAGGCTGGGAGAATTAATACACTTGTGTGACCCACTAGTTCCACAATGTAGCAAAAGAGACCATAGCAAAAGGAAGTAAGTAAAATACAGGATAAATGATTGCATTGGTTGTGGTAAAGGATTCATGTCCAGCTCAGCCTTGCTATAACTACATTCTTAGGCTTGGCTTCTCTGTGCATACTCTGACAGTAAGCATGAGAATAAAAGGGGATTCAAGGGAAGGGAGGACTGCTTTACCATTGCACAGGGCATGAAATTCATCCATCCATGTTGTTGTGTGATATTCCACTACTAGAACATTCACTCTTTGCCATTAGCCACTATTGTTTCTAATATGGAGATATGGAGATGACAAAACTGGAAGAAAGGGAATTGATTTGACTTTGTTTCATGTGAGGATTAATTTTTATTTTTATTTTTTTTACTTCAGTGTAAAACCTGTGCAGAAAGGATTTACAGAACTTCTCATTGCACTCAGTATTTTGTGCTTCAGTGCAGGGGGATTTGCATGCTAGGGAAAGCAGTGGTTTTGGTGTGATTAAAGAGTGTGAATACCAGCATTCACAGTGCTTGAAAGGCAAGAGAAACTACACCAGTAGCTGAAACACAGGTGATAGATACTTTTTACAATAAGGAAAGAAGAAAGCAAGCTTTTTGTCAAGAGTGTGACAAAAGAAGAAAGACAAGCAGAGAAACGAGAAAAAAAGCCACAGCAAATTAAGGACGGTCTATCAGCTTCCTTCAGGGAAAGATTTTCTATAAATTAAAAAAAAAAAAAAAAAGAAAAGATTCTTAGAAGACTAGAGCTTTTCAGGATATACAGGAACAATAAAAGTGATACTTTATAGAAATCACGTCCTTAGCAAGTGTCTCTAGACGTGTTATATAAAGCATTTGTAGACCCAGGGGTGAAAAAAAAAACTTGCTTCTTTTTAGCTTCTCAATTTCTACCATTTGCACCGCTGTCAGCCGAGAGTACAGAGCCATCTAGGAAGAGATCTTTAAAAATATCAAAGGCTAATAGACTCTAAACCCACTACCTGTCAACAAACACCCCCCACCCACAGGATGAGTTTTTTTTCGTGCTACCTGTTTCTTTCCTAAGGGTTTGGCTTCTCATGAGACGCAACCTGGTTTGTCAAAAAATAAAGATCTCTAGGAATTATTTTAAGGGGAGGCAGGGTAAACAAATATCAGCAGCACTCTCCCTGGCCCCCCAAGCTGTATCAGGTCAGTTTTGCAGCATAAGGTGTCTGTGCAGATCCTTTACCTATTTGGTAACGGTTTTGGTTAACAGAAATGGCAAGGAGAGGTGCTGCCAGTGGAAGTGAAAAATTCAAAGTGTGCCACCTCGGCATCACAGGAGAAACCAGGAGCTGTATCCCCAGGTAGCATTGGGCAGCTGTCACACCCACAAGAATTTAGAACAGGGATCAAAATTAATCAAAAGTGGTGAAGGGGCTCCTGAGTTTACCAGTAAGCCCCACTGCAAAGCAGACGTGGGTATGTTCAAATCCATCAGGAGATGAAACAAACACAAAAATGTCCATCCCCTCCTTCCCCTTTCCCAGCTGGGAAGCCCAGGAGCACCTGGGACATCCTGAGGGTTTCCTCACCGGTGTGTGGGTTGTTCTCACCACAGCCACCCTCGCTAAAGATGCCTCCTCTTGTCAATATGTTTTCATCCACCAGAAAAATATAAAACAGAGGGCTGATAGATTTAGCACTTGTTTTTGTCCCCTTCACAGTGTGTGGATGCCAAACAATTGAACCCTGGAATCCATTTGAACACTCCTATTGCCATCAGCATTTGGGAAAGAAAGGAAGGAAGGAAGGAAGGAAGAAAGAAAGAAAGGAAAGAAGGAAGAGAAAGAGAAGAAAGAAATCAAGCAATCTGACTTCTATAGATGTGGCTGTTGGCTTTGGACTATTTTTCATCAGGTGGTGTTCACTTTGCTGTCTCCAAACAGATCCTTCTGATTCCTACTAAATCAAATGAAAATCCCAAACAGAAGGCAGAAATTTTTCTTATGTTTTGTCCTCCCTGGAAAATAGATTTCTCAACTTTACTTAGGCTTTTTTCTTTCTTTCATTTTTTTCCTTTTTTTTTTTTTTCTTTCTTTTTTTTTTTTTTTTTTCTTTTTTACCACAGTTGTCTTTAACATTCAGAAAAGGTGCCAGTTGGATTTACAAATCTTCAGGTTGTTGTGCTCTCCCTGGAGAGTGAAGGCAGGGCTGGCCTGCGACAGTACAGGTTGTTCCCCACAGGCTGCCGGTGTGACAGACCTGCTGCAGCAGGGCTACTGTCAAGGTTTGGTTGGACCTTTTCAGTTTTAGCCCATTTCTGGAAATAATTAAGAGGAACAAAAAGAGAGGGCAAGAAGTACTAGTTGCAGTTTTTGTTTTTGTGGTTTGTTTTGTTTTTTTTTTTCTTCTCATGAGTCACCTTTACAGTTTGCTGAATTTCTATGTGAAACAGAAGTGGCCAGCCCATGGTGTGGACGTGCCGCTGGGATCCTCTGGCCAAGCCCAAGATGAAGACATGGCAGCACCAGCAGCAGGGCCAGCTGGGGCCTTGGGGGCGACGGGGCGCAGGAGACAGCTGGGGAAGCCGGAGTAGGTACCCAGGGAGTGCTGCTCTTCAAGACCAACATCTACATCTTGCAGAACTATCACTCAGAAGGGAAGTGAAACCTGGTGAACGTGGTTTAGGACACAAAGGAAAGACATGAGAGTTCAAAAGATGTTCAAAAGAATAAATTATTATGTGGCTCTGACAGATTATTCCACTTTTTGTCTTACTAAGCCACAACCATCTGAAGACCTGAGAGGTTCCCAGTATCTCAAGGCAAGGCCCTTCCTCCTCTATGCCTCTGGGGGGAGGGTAGACAGTGTCATGAGTAAGTGTTGGCTCTGCATCTCCCACCAGCTTCCAGTGAGTACAACATAGACACAATGCCATGCAACATCTTGAATGTTAGATGATTATTTTCCATGTGTATAAACCATGTTGGGGTGTGTGTTTGCATGCCTGTGTGCACATGCATTATGTCACGCTTTTTTACATTGTTTAATTGGCTGTGAATGTGGATGTACCATGGAAATATTTTTTCACTGAACTGGTACAAGGTGGAAACACATAGGATTGTGTGTCCTGTTTTAAATATACTATAACACAAATCAAAACATCTTGTCCTTTAGTATCAAAAGCAGGGGTGGTTCTAGGGAAATGTGTTAGAAAACTTCAAACGGAAAGATTTTTTTTTTTGTTTGTTTGTTTGTTTCGTGAATGCTGGCCCAAAAATATTTTTTCAGCATGTTATTTTGAGTGTCATCACATCACACGATGAAAAATTATAGTTGTAATTTATATGTTGCACTTCTTAACCTGTAGAATTGTCCTTAGCTGTTAGAGGAATTCATAATTTATGAACAAGTGACAGTTTCAAAGGTCAGAATAAGGGATTTGCACATCTGCTGGAAAACCGGAGTTAAAAGATTAAATAAAAATATACAAACCATTATTTCCCAATGTGAGTATCTGTACTATCGATACCCACAGCACTTGCTGAAAGAAAGAAGCAGATGTGTTTCTTTTATAAAAGTCTTCTAAAGAAGTAAGATTTAGAAAATGAGCAGATTTCATCTTTGATTTCTATCTGAATTTTTAACACTGTAACAGAATAAATGATCTAGAAATTATTATGTAAATCTTTCCTTTGACCTATCAAGATAAGCCTAGTGAATGTAGTTTTGAAAGACACGCAGCACTCAGTTTTGCAAGCTTTATCATTGAGTTATTCTTCCTTACAAGGAGGAAGATCAAAATAGTGATAATAAATATGACTTAAGGCGAGTGAGAGTTGCAAGATTAGATCCTTGGATGCATGGAGACACTTAGATATATTAGGATGAAATCACTAGGGGTATAAAATCAATGAATGCATATTAAGATCCATTAATCCTGAGTTTAATGTGGCCTTAATTTACTGCAGTTTAATCCTCCTCATTTTTACTTTCTGCTAGGAACTTCACTTTGAAACATGAAAATGGTCATATTGCCAAAGTGCTTTGACACTCTGTTTCAATAAGCTTGTCAAATATAAAACTTGTCCACAAGATTAGTCTCCCTGTAATCTTGAAGGCTGCTAGTTTGAAGTACATTTTGGAAGACTCTGATGTGCATGAAATAATGTGCATGAAATAACAGAATGATTTGGTGTCCTATTTGGTAGGTGGCTTTCACTCCAGAAGACAGTCTCTCAGGACACTGTCTATGCAGCCAACTCCTCTTTTGGGTAACAAAATCTATAGGTGTACCTTCCCTAATGTCTGGAAGTTAGAGTTACTAAGGAGGAGGTAATCAGAGTAATTAGAATAACTCACAGACACTTGCTGTTTTCAGTAATCTGCTACACTTTTTCTGATCCACACAGTGCTCAGTTGTGCTACAATAAATACCAAATATTGAAATAGTAAATTCTTTGCCAGGCAGAAAGAATCTGATTTTGAGCTGGTGTGGAGTAGCAGATAATATTTGAATTTTACCTCTGCCAGCCCCATATCCAGACTATTCCACTATCTGTTTTTGTGTAATCACTATTTTCTTCTCTGCCTTTTTATTAGTGTTATCCCTTGGCTTGTAGTGAAAATATTGCTCCCAGCTGGTACAAAAGGCAATGTAGCCAGTATCCTTTCCACAAAGTAAACCTTTTGTCCAGGACACACCTAGGAAGGACCTTGGTTTCACACTGAGGGCTTAGGCAGAGCTTGATCCATGTGGGCATGTTAGTCCATCTTATTCTTTTCCTCAATAAATTAATGTGAATCATCTTTTGACTGATCAAGAGCGTAGGCATCGAATAACTACTCATGCTGTGGAGCCTCAGCATATTTTTTCATCTGTACATCCAACTTTAAAAGGATGTAACGTCCATTTTCCTAGTAATAACCTTGTTTCTATTCTTCAGCTGAGGTCCTTTTTTGGCCACCATGGTGGCTGACTGGATGAGACCTTTGAATCTACAACTTCTTTTGATATTCAATCTTCATGCCCTAGACAAGTAAGGTACAAAAAGGAAGAAAAGTTTGATGGAGGTAAAAGACAAATCCACAGGTGGATACTATATGACAAACAAACAAAATTGTCTCAAAAGCTTTGGTTTACACGGACACTGAAATAGTCTTGGGATGTAGCAATCTGGAAAAGACCATTTTTTTTTTCATTTTTATCTTGAAGTGATGAAAGAATCACAGAACAAAAGCCCATAGAAGGGGGCCAGTGGCAGGCTTTGAATGATACACAACTTAGACGATGGTTACGTGTTGAGCATAAGTACACTTTTCAGAACTGATGTAGGTTTGGAAATGGTAGTGTCATAAACAACATAAAATAACTTTCATTATGATTTGCCTGACATTAAGGTTCTTACATGACAGTGACAAAAAACTTTAGACAACATTGAGTTCTAGAAACTTTTGACCATGATCCACTCAGATAATTTAAGGATCTTCCAAACTCCTATGACTCTTCCACACAGTTATTGTTAAAATTTCCTTTTTTTCCCCCCCCAGCTGAAGACATATTAAACAGACACAGAAGAAAAAAAAAAAAAAAAGAACAAGCATTTTACACAGAATGACAAAAATTTGTAGACTCTAAAGCCCTTCTGCAGTATTCTCTCAGAAAGAAAGGAACCGTGCCTCCAGTCCACATACTTGAATAATTCTTCAAACATCCCCATGTCCTTAAGATCTATTTTCAATGATTAAAAAATGTTTTCAAGTGTAGTTCTCAGGGGTGGAGCTGATGCCCCATCTCAGTATTTCCACTAACAGCCTGGATTGCACATTCCATAGAAGAGCATAAAGTGCTATGGCGTTGTTTTTTCTAATTCAATTTGAAACTTCTTCACCCTTTCCATTATTATTTTTATTATTATTTTTACCTTGTAGCTCCTATATTCTTGTAATGACACATAAGGAGGTGCTTAAAGGTCTTCTTGAAAGTAGCATTGCAGAGCGCATAACAAGCAGGGTTAATGGTGCTGTTGATATAACAGAGCCAATAACCTATGGTCCATACAGTGCCGGGGATGCAGGATGCGCAGAAGCTATTGATGAGCACCATCACATTGTATGGGGTCCAGGTGATGATGAAGGCCAGGAGGATGGCCAAAATAGTCCTTGTCACTTTTTTCTCTCTAGAAGGAGGTGGTTTCTTTTTGGCTGGCTGCTTTGTCATCTTGACAATTTTTCGGGCTACGCTATTCTGCTTCTCCTCCCCATTAGTGCCTACAATCTCCACAGTAGTGTTGGTGGGGGCACAGCAGTCACCCTTCTGGGACTTGGTGACTATCCTGATGCATGTGAGCTTGGAGTTTTCCACTTTGAGATGGTCTTGGGAGGCAGAAGCCTGGTTGGCATCTTTGGTGGCTTCATCCTCTTTCATGTTGGAAGCAACAACACTAACAGAGGTGGAATCATTGGAGCTCTCCTTTTCCTCCCCTTGAACACAGTTCTCTGTCACAGTCTCTTCAGTGGTTTTTCCATTCTGAACTTTGCTGTGCTCCAACCTGTCCCCGCTGGTTGGGATGTTGTTATTGTTTGGTTTCACTATTTTACCTTGGACAAGGCTGGGGGAAACTGTATCTTGGTTTTGGGCAGCTTCCTTTTTCCCTTTCTTTATCCGACTCTTACTGGCTCGAGAGATTTGCCAGTAAAGGACAGTCATGATGATAACAGGCAAATAGAAGGCTGCAATGGCAGTGCCAAAAGTGACGGCAGGGTTGGAAAAAAACTGGATGTAGCAATCCCCATCTGGGACAGTCCTTCCTCCCACAATGAACTGCCAGAAGAGAATTGCAGGGGCCCACAGGATGAAGGACAGCACCCACGCAGCTGCGATCATCATGCCTGCCATCTTAGTGGTCCTCTTTACAGGATATGTCAAAGGCTTGGTGACACAAAAGTATCTGTCGAAGCTGATAATAAGGAGGTTCATTACAGAGGCGTTGCTGACCACGTAGTCAAGAGCCAGCCAGAGGTCACACACCACAGGTCCTAAGGGCCAGTAGCCTATCACAGTGTAGAGGGTATACAGGTTCATAGAAAAGATGCCAATGATCAAGTCAGCACAGGCCAAGCTGAACAAGAAATAGTTGTTGACAGTCTGTAGGTGCCTGTTGACTTTGATTGACACCATGACGAGGATGTTCCCAATTATGGTGACTAGACTGAGAGATCCTGCTACCAGGACGATGAAGACCACCTCAACAGTTTTATAGGGGCTCTCCAGAGCCATCACATTTTCAGTGGAAGAGTTTATGTACGTTGAGTTATTCATTTCTGTTCTGGTAACAAGATACCCAATTACCACTTAAGCCTGCAGAGGAAAGAAAATAAAACAAATACCATTGTGAAATTAGTTCCTTTGCTTTTAGGAAATGGATCCTAGAAAAACTAATTGGAAAGAGTTTAAAGGCAGAAGATGTTTGCAGAAGAACGAGTCAGCTCTAGCTAATGAAAACACCTTGCAATATCAAATATTCTCATAGGAATGATGTACCAATAGAATACCTCTAAATATGACAAAGACAAAACACTTGAATCCAGACCTCAAATTTAAAGTTCTCAGGTGCATTTTTCTCTTTGTTTTGTTATAAAACTAGTAATTATTTGAAAATTTTGGAACTGGATCTGCACGTTGATTTCTTTCCTACCAACAAATAGTTCACTTTGCTCATTTCAAATCGTATTTCAAAGAAAAAAGTCCAGTCCTAAGGGTATGCCATTCATATAACTTGAAATTAAGGTGTGATTTACCAGGAGCCAGATCACACACACAAGTATGACTTATTTTTCCATGTTTCCTTCATGTTCCACCTGCTTATGCTTCTGTGAGGGCTATGGAACGAGTTATTATCAAGTCTCCCTCTAATTTTCTTACACTGCAGTTACTTTTTCTGTCAACACTTGAAAAGATTATTAGTCTGCCAAAAAATAAAAAAGGGTAGGTCTGTTGAAGTCAATAGAATTAGTAAACTCACCTCAGTTGAATGTCTGGCTATCTAGTTAGATGTGTACAAATTTGAGGTTTTTTTTTTCCACATTCAAAACCCACCTGGACAAGTTCCTGTGCAACCTGCTCTAGGCAGACCTGCTCTGGCAGGGGGGATGGACTAGGTGATCTCCAGACGTGCTTTCAAACCCCATGTGATTCTGTGATTCTTGCTCGCTTATACTTCCCTCAGTTTTTTCAAATCACAGTCTTTTTAATCTGTATCACATAAAGCTATGACAAAAGGTATGAAATCGATAGCAGGGTAATGATAAAGAAAGAAACAGATAAAAATCTGTTTATACACAGCAATGTATAAACATTGTATGCCCTGTATAGCCTACCAGCAGTACTCAATAAATAGTAATTAAAGTACTAGCAATATACATTTGAAAGAAGACCAAGAAAACGGCACATACTTTTGCCTTAAGGATATATGCTATCCTTTTGTGCATTGCCTGGAAGTCAACAGAATGCACTGGGATTGTACAGCCAGTCTCTGAGCGCCCATTATTTATGAGCTATGCCCTAGGGATTACGAAGGCATGAAGGCCAGATGTGACAGTGGAGTTAGATTTTTTCTAATTGGAATATTCTCCTTTTTTCCCCACTCATAAGGCATCACTTCTTTAAGACAGAGCTTCTAAAAGTGGGGGTGCAATCAAAGGAAGACTCTGTGACTCTTCCACACAGCAGCGATTAAGGAATTCTTCTCTGGCCCCTGTGACTAACCTGCTGATGCACAGATATATACAATCCATGTCAGTTAAACAGCAATGCATTTTCACTGTCATTTCATCACTGCATATTTTCTTTCACATGCAAAAAAGAAAAATATGATGCAAAATGTCAGCACAACAACAAAAACCCTTCTGACCTCTAAGAAAAATAAGCAAGTCTGTCTCCGTGGAAAAGTCAAAATGTTATGCCAGGTTAAAGTTTTTCTGACTGATGCCATTTTGTAATCTTCTAATTTACACTTAAAGAAATACAACTGGCAGAAGGTGGGGCTCATGTATTTGCCTTTGGTTTTAAAAACAACAAAGATCTGTTTGCCAATGCCATATTGAAGTAAACACATGGATAAACAGAAGAACATAAGGCTAGACAGGCATTTTTTTTCCCTACTGTCTGTTCACAGGTACATCCCCAAAATCCTTGGGATCAGGTTCAAGAGAGCAAAACGGTGAGGAGGAGTGCTTTAATTAAATATGTGCTTTGTACAGTAAGAATGGGCTGAGGGGAATATAGCAGAATTTATACTCTGTGCAAAAAATAGACAGGAGAATAGCGCAGATTTCTTTAATATATAGGACTGTCATTTCAGCAATGCACTGTGTGCTTTTCACCCAAAACCTCACAGCTGAGCAGCTGGCTATCCACATAGAGGTGTAAGGTATCAATTTTTTGGGGACAAGCTAAGAGCTTCTCACAAGCAGAGTTGTTTATGAACATTCTTGACAGAATACATTTTTGATGAAAAGGCAAAATAACTAGCAGAGATGTATTGATTTCAAAAAAATTTCTGCTGAAAGAGTTTGTGATCTAGGGCTCTGCAGCTACCTCTGGTGACAGAGAGTGAAAGGGGGAGCAAGAAGGGAAGAGACTGAGAGGATCAGAGCTGAAAAACATGCTTTATGATAAGCAAACGTGTTTTTCTACAATTTCATTTTGACAAAATATTAAGTGGTTTTGTTTTCATTCCACTGAAGAACTAAAATTCATTTTAAAACCTTAAAAATTGTTGTGAAACCAAATTACCACCTCCCAGCTAACTTTAGCCCTAAGTCTTTTCAGCTGATTTTTTTACCCACTTCCAGTGGAAATATTGGTAATTCAGTATAAATCCTCTTGATTTTATTGTCTCTGGTTCAAAGAGTTGGATGAGAGCTAAAAACTAATTTTACTTGTTAGAAATAGGATTTCACTGCGTTCTCTTGAATAGGAGCAAAGCAGAGGAGTCTCTTTCCCAGCGATCTCTCTGCACAAAATGTTCCTGCCACAAGGAGTCTGGTAGTTCTGGAATGCACATTGCAATGACCATTGCAGCTTTCTTAGGTATGGAGAAACATACCTGCTATCACTTACTCCAGTAAAATCTTCCTTTGCTTGCATCAGTATGATTGTAAAATGAACCATGTTTTGCTGTGTGTGTCGATGGTAAGGTATAGGTCAGGAGAAACATTTGATTTCAACCGACACATATCGTTGCTGTTGATAATACTACCATTATATGAGCAGACAGCGTTATGCATGTTTCCTAATCTGAGATCCCCTGAAATCTGCTGGACTCTTTCCTGTGGACTCCAGCAGGGTTTGAATCAGGCCCGTGGTGAGGTTTCTATTTCATATTGTGGCAGCTTGCTCCCTTGGTACAGGACTGCCTGTGGACTACTTTGGTTTTTGTCATGCCCATCTCTCCTGGAGAGGCAGTTGTTATGGGAACAGATGTTATTCATCAGGCAGACCTACGGGGACGAGGGATTTTTAGGTAATATGACCTCCCGTTATGAGAAGTACCAGATCCTATTCTTGAACAAACAGAGCTCTTGTCTGCAAGCCCATGGGTGTTTGTGCGAGTTGCACAATATGGCACTGACTCCTGTGGGCTACTATAATTTATTCTTGTATACTAAACGCATTCTTGCTAAACAGACAATACCCAGAAAAGGCAAGAAATTTCTCTTGTGACCTGAAAACCAATCAAGTTCATTTCCTGGAATATATTTTAAAATATATATTACTTTGAGAAATGAAAACACCATAATTGTTGCATGGAAAATATCTAAAGCCAAGAAATCCACATATAAAATAATTCATTGTTTGATATTTGATATGTAGTTGGGAGATATTTCCAGTGCAGTATTTTCTCCCCTCTAAAGAATTCATAGTGCTGAAAATCCTTCCCTCCCTTCTCTTGACTAGACACGGATTTGAGGGAGAACTGGGGGATTTGATGGGATACACGGTACATGCACTTTTGGTGTGGTGTGATGCCAGGTCATTTTGCAGTGATTATTAGACAGGCAGAAGCAGGGCGCAGATGGGTTGACCTGAGTTTCGTTATCATTCACAAGGAGAAAAGTAGCCCAGGCTGTCACAGGCTGGAGTAAGCCTTCAGAGTGTGCTGACAGTCATGGTCTGCTTTGCTTTCTTTCATTTACCTCCCTAGCAGTTGCTTGGAACAGTGAAACAGACATCTGATGGGTGAAATCTGTAAGCTGGTTCATTGCAAAAGGGAACGATGGTGAGTGTGAGGAAGCAAAATTATGTTATTGAGGTTATTCATCCTATTCCACAGCAGACCATGAGGAGGAGGCCTGCAGAAAGAGGAGGGCAAGGAGAAAGGACAAGGGCTGCATGTCACCCTGTGGATCATGATCCTTAAACAGGTGTTACATCTTCCTGACCGTGCTGTCCCTTGCTCTGACAGGATCCCATCTCTTTGGTGCATATGAGTCTTGTAGAAATAATTGTAATTTTAAATTTAGGATATATCTCCAACATCTGTCACAAAACAGACTATGGAAATGTTATGTGTATTGAAAAAAATGGCTGATATGCCATGCCTGTCAAAGCTTGTTAGACAAATCCTTCCTCTGTATTGTGCATATTGCCAAGTTAAATATGGTAAGGATTTAATGGCTTTCTTTGAATCCTCTGAAGCCATATGAAGGTCAAGGCATGAAAGAGGAAACAAACGATCTCTACCTGAAAGTTATATTTGTGATTGAAATGGGATTACCCAGGAACCTATGTGCATTGCAACTCTGAGCACTTTTCAGCATTCAGCTCTCAAACAAAAGAAAAATATACTTTTTAAACTTCTCCTCTTTAATCCAGTTCTTCTCCAGTCCAGGCCTATGTAAAATGGATTTGATTTTTGCTGTAGCAATAACAGATAATTTTTTCTTTCCTGAACTGATTTTGATGCTGAACTGCACTGGTTTTGATTCTAAGTTTCTTCCTGGCACCATTTAAAGCCACAGTGTGACAAAAAAGACAGAACCTGCTGCCCGCCCCCTCCCCTTAAACCAATGACAAATGTAATAGGCACATTAGTCAGAATTTATTACAGACCTTAAGAGAGATTATAAATCTAGTCAGGGCTCTTGGTAAAAAAAAACACCAACATTTCAGAAAATTCCCAAATATCAAAAGACTGAAATCTTCACCACATGGATTACCTTCTGCAATCCATTTGAAACTAGAAACATCTTTGCAAAGTGTTACCGCTTCAGTGTGGTCCATTCTTCTCATTTTTATGCACTTTTGTTTTTCTCAATCAACACATGTCCTACAAAAAAAGATATTCTGCGGTCCTG